CGTTTGTTTCCCCATTCTCGTGAAGCGCGCGTCGATTATCCTTCCATTGCCTCGCGTAAAATTTTTATTTATAACCGTGACAGTCATGGGATGACAAAGCGGTGATTCTTTTTTTACAGTTGCATAAAAATGTAATTGCACTCGGGGCTTGTACGGATATTCCCATGTAGAAAGTCCTCGGTTTGGTATCGCTGCAGGGACGGTGGGAGGGAGCGCGCCTCTTCCCTGAAATTACGATTATTATATCAACGCGGCTATTACGGACGCCTAATGGTCCCCATTGTGCGGCAGAAGCCCGTGTTTATTACCATCCGCGTGCTACGTAACGACGATGTTACGCATTCCGGAGTTGTGTCCTTTTTTTTTTTTGTTGTTGAACAACAGGAAAACAGAAAAGCAAAGTAAGGAAGAAAAAAAAACATGCATACTCGCGACAGATGTAAGCTTGCAAACACGGCTCCGATGAGTTCACGTTTCACTCGTACTTGTTTCGGTACAGCACAAAAAAGTCCCCCTCTGGAATGGTGCACTCCTACTCTCCAGGTGCATTGGAGTATATATACTTTGAGCGCGCATCAAAAATATAATCCATTTGGACCGTAAGTAGTTGACGCACGTGCAGCTTTGAAAAAGTAAATAAGCGTGCATTATACTATCAGTATGTTATATTTTATACGTGCACTGGTTGAGTTCGTTCGTTTTGCAGTGGAGTAAAGCAGTGATGGTTTCCTCTACGCAAATACATTGCTAGGAGCATCGGTACGTATAGCGACGAAATTTGTCCGTGAAATTAGTGCCATTTAGTAAAAAAAAAAAAAAAAAAAAATCACAAATTACGCGACAACAAAGGAAACCCATTAGTCCCTTTTCCATGCATCTTCGGTAGCGGTCTATAATATATTATATTGTTCCCATATGTAAACTTTTTATCGTTGCGCATACATCCCCTCGATTGAGCTTACATAAAAAAAAGCACCATTCACAAGCAAACTCCTAGCAGCTTTTTTCCTTTTCTTCCGTTAGCGCTTGCACGTGACAGTGGCTCGATTCAAAAGCACATCCAGCCATGTCGTATACTCGAAGTGGCCCGTAAACCAGAAGAGGCGATTCTTTCCCTTTTTTTCGACGCTCTCTCTAAATCGTTCGGGATTTTTATTGCGAAAGTCCAGTTGGTTAAACTACAAGTGAAAAGGAGAACGCGCCCGCGCGACAGTGTACATAAAGAGCAATTGGAGCGCGACTCTCTCTCTTGGATTGATTTATGTGTACGCACCAGAGACTCCCAAGGTATTAAAAAAAAAGAGAGAGAGCTGCACGTGAAAGAGACCAAAGTCCAGAGGCTGTCCTTTCATTAGACCTCGGGCACCTCGGCCAAATGGGCGAAAATCGGCTCCGAGAGAGCCAAAGTAAAACAACACGTCGCTGTGGGGAACGCCGAAGGGAGTGGCGTATACACGAGCCCCGAAAGTTTAATTAAAGGCTCGTACAGGAGCTTGTGCACCGTTGTCCTGTACGCAATATTCGGGGCGCCCCGGGGTGTTATACCCTTAGACCCCCGAAAATTTTCAATTACACGACTTTGGATGCACGAGCACACACACACCGAGTGGGGCTAAGCTCCTGCGTGTGTATGTACGTACATTATGTATAAGGGTGAGAAAAGTTTCGATTCGAGGGGGGAGGATCGCTGCCCAGATCCCTGGCCTTTTTTTTTTCTTCTTCCATTCGCAGCAGAAGGAAAGGATGAGCCAGAATCTCAAAAGTAGCTCTCCATCGGCTTTCAGGGGGGAAATTCGATCAAAGTAGGTTTTGAAAAAGCCGAAAAGATCTGCAGTCTGTAAGTGTAGGAGTTATAGAAGTGAGACTTTAAGTGATTAAATTTGGAAATTGAAAAATTTGCTTCTCGATCCAGGTGGGGGATGTGAACATTGAGTTAGCACGTATATAATAGTACATATATAGGGTCACCCCAAAGTATAAAAAACAACTTTAAACTTATCATGGATATTCCAAAGCGTTGCAAGTCCCATCCTGTGTAAAATAAGACCCAAAAGGAGCCAACGTTTGCGCGGAAGTTTAAATTGAACGCTGATGCCCACGAAGGCGTAGAAAGATAGCCGAGGCGGATTTCCCCCCCAGATTAATAGTCCTCGCCGCAAGGAAATCATTGCCCGCTCCGACCCGCGCTCGGGAGAAAACGCGACCACTAATTCCGAGCTGACCGCGGGAAATTGCACTACGGATGGCTACCTAGCCGGATCGTTTGGTTTTTTTTTTTTTTTTTCTCCCTCTCGGGTGGTAAATTAAAAGCACCGCGGACTCTCGATATTTGTGATTGGGGGGGTTTCGCGCGGATTTCGAAAGTTTGAGCTATCGGCTGTGTGCACGGGAACGCCTGGAAAGGAAGGAAGTCGAGTGATTAGCACTTTTTTTTTTTCCTCGTTACTCGCGGACTTTGGGAAATTATTCTCTTGGATACTACATTGAACTGCCTTGCTCGTGTTTCAACAGAAATAGCGATCGGTGGACACGATATATTTTCACGCTGGAATAAGAGAAAAAAAATTAGGGGTCGGAGTTTTCATTAGGAGACCCTCCACGTGGTATTACGTATACACCACGAAAAAGTTGTCATTTACGGCTCGAGGAAGATATTAATAGTTGACGTTTGCTCGGCTTATTAATAATGTCATATCCAAATTGCAAATTAACTCGGCATCCGAGGCGGGATGGATACATATACCGCGTGCTGGCGACAAGAAGAGACGGACGAGTTATCGGTGAAACCATTTTTGAGGTTGAAATTTGCAAAAAAGATCCGCGCACGGGAGGTGATTTTTAACAATTGTCACCTATACGCAAGACCAACACTACAGAGTAAGGGCCGCTTGATGGTTCACCCTCCGACCAAATCAAAAGCAACCTTTGGTTTTAACGACCGAAGGGCGGCTCAATCTATCGTAGCCTCCAACACAAGCTGGTAACTGTGTCGATGATGATGATGCAGGTGGCACAGTTTCCTCCTCCCCGTATGATTTAATCCAAGCTCGGAGTTGTGTGCGCATAACTGAGCTGCTGGACGCGACACCGACTCGCTGTTTTGCTTGATTGGACAAAGACTCGACAAATGGGTGTTTGCATGCATATTCTTGTAACGAGTATACCTTCATGTTCATTATTTTTAACTTCCCCTCTCTTTTTTTCTTTTATGTCAATGCACCTGATACTAAATTCCTTTCCTATTCTTTTTTTTTTTTTTTTAGCAATTAAAAAAGTGTGTGTTTCCATGGCAAATGAAGTTTATGTGAAAAAACGCGCACAAGCAATCGCGACCATTTCGATGCGCACGGCCGGATTGTCGGAATGCACGCAGCGCCAACAATGAATATATATATATACACTCGAACGGAAGACAAATGTCGCTCCGAGCGAGCATTGTCCACAGCTAGGCGAGACTATAATATATACAGGGGAAGCGAAAAAAAAAAAAAAGATCATGCGCGTGTCCTTTTTTTTTGTTCTCCGTGCCAGGGCGATGCGGTTATTTATGCCACAAATGTAGATGGACGGACGCGCTAGATTATCGCTCGCGCGTTCTTTTTGCGGGAATTTTTCAATTTTCTCATACAATGACTTGCAAGGAAGGAAAAAAAAAATACAACAGCATAATTTTATGCTTATGCCAAATGTATTTAAGCCGAAAATTTTTCTTGATTTTTCGATTAATAAAGCAAAAGAGGACACGCGTGCACCAAACGACGGACAAAAAAGACATTCGCAGTCGCAAGGAAGACACACTGTCCCCAATTTTTACCCATAAATGTGCCATAGAAGCGCACGTGCCACGAGAACAAAAAAAAAAGCCCTCCTTGCAGCTTCTTTCACGTACTCGCAATAACGCGCAACAAATGTCCTGTCGCTACCCCACGAGGATCACAGCTGCAGATTTCGATTCGAAATGCATGAGCTTCGCCCTTGTACAAGTGCAGAGGGACGCCTCTCACGTGGAAAGATTTTTCCCTCAATACGTATTTTTTGCACCAGGCGCTTTAACGCCTCGCTTTTTCCCTTTTGCCCCGTGGAATGGATAATCGGTGCCATGTAGAGGATCGACGATTGAAAAGTACCTTACACTCGTCGATCGCTTTTTTTTTAGTAGTGTATATATAGAGTTGAATAATAGTATAGACAGCTTTTTTTTTGCATCCCAATTGTTGTTTGCAATTTTGCAACAGCGCACAGTTAGTTATAATTTTGCTTGACTAAGAAAAAAAAAAGGAAACACTAAAAACCCGCTCGAGCGTTGTAACCATAAATTGCTGTACCTACGTGTAGACGCAGGTTTGGTTTGGAAAACCATTTTATGTGTAAAAAAAAAAAAAAAAAAAAAAAGAAAACTACAAAGGGGGAAATAAAATTCTGTGGATAACTACAGCGGCTCACCGCATTCGTTTCCCTTCGTCGGTTTCGGACGAGCGAACGCTGTTTAGGCGTGTACTCGCAACACAATTCCTCCAACATCTCGTGATAACTTTGAGTTTTTTTTTACTCTTACACTCGTACAAGTTTATTGCCTGCGAAAATCATATCACTACAAATACGAATTTAATACGCCATTATTGTACGAACTCTACTTAATTACTTACACTGAGATATCCGAAACTACGACCCATCCCTCTATCATGTATACGTTATTATGGGATAGGTATTTTTCAATGTATTTACTCTCTTCGTAAGTAGGAACATATATAGACTTGTATGAACTTACCAAAAAACCACTTGAAACCAGTCTCCCAAAATAAATCAAGCATTCAATTACCCGATGAGCAATTTTCCGGTCTTTTGCGCCCACCGTAAACACCGTTATACACCAAAACACGAGCAACGCGGCGCAAACGAAAAAAAGCGACACGCCCCAGTCCAGCGCATACAGCACAGCCCCACTCTCTCGATCGCGTACATATTGTCTCTGACCCACTGTGTGCTTTGTTTTTTTGCAGCTTCCGGCTCGGGCTCGGTGATCGGCCGGGACCCTCTTCCACCGCGCGCCGTCAGCACCTCGCAGCTCAACCAGGCCGCCAACGGTCGGCAACAGTCGCCCTCGGTCCCTGGAGCCCAGCAGCACCACCTCCACCAGGTGTCCACGCTCCCGCGGCCCAGTGGGGTTGGGGGTGGCCAGCAGCCGTCGCTGCCGGTCCATCAGCAGCCCTTGGCTCAGGACCACCACCTCCATCACCACCACCACCATCGCCACAATGACCCCAGGACGGAGTACGCGAACCACATACTCAAGGCTGCCAGTAGTGGCGACGTCAGGACGTGAGTATGCCTGCACGACCTTTCACCGATTGTCATTTCGGAACAGGTTTTTTCACCCCGAAAAAATGTCACTGCCAAGTTACTTTTAATCAGAGAAGGAAAAAAGAAAGGGTCGTTATTTCCGGGAATTGGTGACGGTGGAGATGCCAAGTAGGCGCTTGATACTTTTCGCGAATAAAAGACAAAAGCTCCTCGAGTGCAGTATATGTATACGCTGTTTCGAGTAGAGTGTCGCGAAAATTCCGAGACGATGGCACAAATGTTGGGCTCTCTCGGTTTTTCTTCCGGAAACGAGTGTCCGCGGGGGATTATCCCTTTCTGGACAACAGTAGCTAATTTTCCTTTTTTTTTTTTTTTTTTTTTTTTTTTTNTTTTTTTTTTTTTTTTTTTTTTTTTTTTTTTTTTTTTTTTTTTTTTTTTATTCCGTTCCGAAATGATGGACAACACAAAATCAACAACTTGCTAATCGGGAACCATGATGATTTTTTCCTCCCACATCACAATAGGCTCAACAGCGACTTGAGAGATCCGAGAATAGCATCGCCGTGTTCTGGACAGCGTCTCGTCAGTCCGACGAGCCACTTGAGGGTCATTTCGCCGGTCGACCATCGGGTCTCCAGCCCGAGCGATAGCGAGAGACACGCGCACAGCCAAAGTGAGTACATTGTATGATGTTGCGCATTTTTCTTGTGTCTCTATTGAAAAATATGTGTGTATAAGCCCTATTGAGATCTAATCAATTGGTGGTGTGTGGCATTTTAATCTCGTTGAAGATGGTCTTTCAAAACCACACTGTAAAAACTTTAGTCTATGAGATTTTTTTTTTTTTTTTTATTGGCTTACTTTTGCTATTGATGTTGTAAAATTTTTTTACCTTGTATTGATGAAAACAATTGGTTTTTAAAGTCACGATGCAATTGTAAAGGGGCATCGAAAACAGAAATAATACCAGGAGTCTCTTATCTTATTCACGCGGGTGCGCTCCAATCACGAGAGCTGCTGCACCTCGTGTCTTACCGTGTGCAAGGGCCCGAGTGCCAAGTGTGTCGGCTGCGTTTCCTGGAATACTTAATTGAACACAATTGAAACAAACGAGTTTGAAGAAATTGTCCTTAGTGTATAATTTATTTTACGTGGGTGGAGGTACAGCGAAGTATTGAATTTTCTGACTTATTCAAATGTTATTTTTTTAATTTTTTTTTTTTTTTTTTTTTAATTAACTGCTCCCACTCCTCTTTTGCATGCACTCAAGCAAGATATTCCCCTAAAATAAATGAAAAATCACCCTTGAATCAACATAAATGAAAATAAAAAACTGCTGATAGATTGGGCTTACACACATCGAAAACATTTTTAAAAAGTGCCATTTAATACCCTTTGTTTCAAAGGTGTAAGTATCTCGACAAAGTCATTCTGAATTTAGCCTTTTTTTTAGAACCGCTCATACAGTTACACCTAAACGCGCCGAGCCACTTGAAACGACTATTCTAAGGAATACTGAAATAAAATTTAAAAAATACGGTCCATCTCTTTCAGCGTGTATACCGATAAAAGACTCGAAAAACGGACGAAAGTATAAGTATAGCCAAAAAGCCGAGCACAGATAAAAAAACAGCCGTACACTAAACGTGTGTGTTACGCGGCTCTTGAAGAGGTCAATGAATTATTTACCACCCTAGCCTTCAGCTCCGTATGTATCAACATACACGTGTCATGCAAGCACAAACGAGCTTTCGATGGAGGGACTAAAAAAGCTCCCTGCACATGCTTATGGCCCTCTTTCCTCTTATTATTATTGTCATTGTTATTATTATTATTATTGACCCCCCCCCCTCTGTACACGTGACTCTAAATTATTGTTCAAGACCTCGATTGACCCGCAAAAAACCCAAGTATTCAAAGTGTTTTTCCAATTCTCTTTGCACAGGTGACCGAGGCACCACGTCGAGCCCGAACCTTCGGGACTCGGAGCGTGGCAGCAACCCTGCCCTGCGCCAGATACAACGTGGCACCGGCTCCCGCCAATCCGGAGAGCTTCTGCACAAGAGGGTGAGTACTGTAGCTCCAATCGCTGGAATACACATTTACATGTATACGTAGTTTATACAATTATTGTCCGAGAGTGTCCCTTGATGTATGCGTATATTGTTCTCATTGTACACTCAGTGTTTCGTAGTCCAAGCTTCCTGAGGCGCACTTTTACGTGCGTGGAATATATATATATATATATACACGAGACACATCAGCGTATCGCTCGTGTCGTGTGTTTGGTGTTTTTGTATTTTCGCATCATTAGGAGATGTTTCACGAGTCAAAAAATAACTGCACGATAACGGGAGTCGTCGAGCTCTCCGAAACGGTTGCGATTCTTTGTACCTAATTATTATTATTATTATATAGCGCGAAGAGATTAAATTCCGAATGGAACAATAACAGCGATAAGCACCATCGAGAGGCGAGGGGGGGGGAGATAATAGAAACGCGCATCTGCACATTCGAGTTGGGGCTTATCAGTGCGTTCCTATGTGCACGCAAGTTAGTATGATCTAGACCGGTTCTCTCGACCTGTTTCAATTTTTCTTTTTTTTTTTTTATACTCGTGCACATAAGTACCTACTTACGTGCGCACGAGTAATACAAAAGAGAGACTCCGTTGGGTTTTAACAGCGCGCACGTGCACTCGCATGCGAGTTGTCCTCGAAAATGATAATAACGGGTGTACAAAGAGAGGAAAAAACAAAGTAAATTGTACGAATCAGGTAAAAAGGTGTCCTTTTAGTGATACGTGTGGGAACTTGAGGTAGGAGATAGGGAAGGGTAGGAGATACAAGAATGGGGTAGGGAGGGTTGGAAAGAGAAGAATCGGGGGTGGATGAAGGGGGGGAGGAAAAAAAAAAAAAGACAGTGACGGGACGATATGCGGTTACACGGTCAACGAGGGCACGATGCCAGAGGGAGAATCTTAAAATTAAAGCGATCCCAAGGTCCGAGTCCTGTTTTCCGAAGGAGGCTGAAGAGAGTTTTTTTTTTTTTTTTGTGCTTTGAATTTTTTCTGACGAGTTGGATGGATTTTCCGGGGAGCTGACATTTCGAGATCTAGAGGGTGAATGGATGGATGGTGTATGACTTGAGCTGAGTTTTTTTGTTTTAATTTCATTCAAACAATATACGTTTCAGTTTTAAAATAAAAAAAAAAGAAAGTTTTAAGGGCAACTGAAAAATAAATAGTATAATCTGAAACGGGTTGATGTGTCAGTCGAATGAATTGAAAATTAATGCCAACCGGTACGTCCCGACTAGTACAAATTAGCAACAACTTTGTCTGCCGATGTTTCCGTAAACAACAAAACAATTTTTCAATTTTCAAAAGAAACAACAACCTGTTCTCTTGCACAAGCATTCAGTAAATCATTATTACAGTGAGTCGACGATTACTTTATTTAAAAATATTACTAAATCAACCTGGTAAGGGTCGTTCAAACGTTTACTGTGCACGACGGAAACGTCAAAAAACACAAAGTTATGACAACAATGTTCATTAAAGACAATTATCCTCTGATGCATTTGAAAAAAAAAAAAACAAAAAAAAAACAAAAAAAACCAATCTTTTTAATTACGAGCGTTTCCAAAGCTCTTCTATGGGGTTTCCTACGCGGTACGCATCACTGGTACACAGAGAGAATCCGCGTCTCCCACGGGAGCTTTTTCATCGTCTTGGCCAAGTTTCTCTCCGTACGGGCGGTCGAGTTCCCGAGAAAACTGCTCGCTTCCTCGTTCCCGAGCCCGTATATATAATATACCGTCCCAACCATAGTACTCCCCCCTCGGCAATGGCCGTTGTTGCAGTTTCCGCTAACTACTCCCCCGCCAACTGCAATCTCAGCGGTGCGTGCAACAGCTAGGGAGAGAAGCGCGTATAGCGCGCCCTCCGGCTTCCTAGGCCAAATTAAACGCGCGCGGGCGCCTTAAATTATAATTGTCACTTTTCGAAAGACTCTCCGAGAGCATCCGCGCTCCGGCTGGCTATTCCCGTTTTCTTCTCTTGGCTTGGATGTCTTATCGTCCCTTTTTTTTTTTTTTTCTTTTTTTTTCACATATACTAACGGGTAAGCATGTACATACTCCTTGAATTCTTAAAAATGATAATACGAAAGGAATCGTTTTTTTATTACTAATCAAAAGTCGGTTATTGGGTCTCGTGATTACTTTTTTAACTTGTATATATGAGTGAGATGTTGCAAAAATCTGGTAGGGATGCCAGACTCTGTTTTACTACCTGTATACTATAGTATGTACAATAAATGATCAATCAGTAAAATTTCATCGCGGTAATTAACGGATCTCCGTTTTCTCTGGGGACAATAACAACAATAATAGTAATAATAATAATAATCATCCATAGGAAGCAGTAAGAGTAAGAAAGCGTGATAAAAAAAAAAAAAAAGATTGCGGGACACGAGAGAATCCCTCGTGTAATCGATTACTCTCGTCTCTAATATCGACACATGCCTATACACATACCGGTATACAGTTTCAACTAGTTTGACTCCGTTTTTGCTCTGGTTATTTCTTGGAGCGTAACGGTGTTTTATGCACATTTTTTTTTTTATTTATTTATTTTTTTTTTTTTCATCGATACAGAAAATAATGTATCACGCGACTCTTGTGGAACGAATATTGAGTTGTACAGGCCAAATACTGTAGCGAACCGTTACGTTACTCCCAATTGGAGCAGGGTAGGGATTGAGCGATTGTTATAGACTCGCAGATTTTGCAAAATTCACGGCTTATAGACCATGTATGCTTTTGCCCATTCGACTGGGCGATGATACCGATTTCTCGATTCGGCTACCAAACGCGATCGAACAACGGACTAATTCATCAAATCATCGCAGAAAGGACGATCATCAAGGAAATTATCAGGAAACTCATTTGATGCGTAAAAAAGCGCAGGGTGTTCGAAGGAAATAGAAGTGACGCACCAAAGGCGATCCAGTTGGACAAGGATCTGTAGGTAATAACGGCGGTATGCTTTTTTTCTACCGCGCAATACTTACAGCTCACTTCTAGGGTACCTTTACCTGTAGATATATACATAATCCTTGTACAAGGAGGAGAAGAGAAAAAGAAAATTGTGATGGGGGAAAAAAAAAAAAGATGCTGGGAACTCGGAAACAAATGCACGGAGAAGCAGAAAAGGTCGTAATCTCTCTGAGCGATGGGATAGCAAAATATTTAGCGACAAAAATTACCTACTTACAGCTATATACGTATAGGTAAGTTGCGATGTCTTAAATACTACTCGGATGTAGATGGTAAATTTGACTAAATAACAGCATTGTCGCTGACGCGTGACAACAAGACTCTAGTGCGAGATCCATCAAAAGATATAAAATACACATCCAAAGAGCCAAGGAAGAAAGTCCATACGGTCGTATCATAATATGCGGGGCATTAATAAAATAAGCCACGAGCGAGTCGAGGTATATATATACGTATACACGTGTACGAAATTCGCTCGAGAACAGAAGTACGGGCACAAGGAGAGAGAGGGGAGGGGGTGAAATTCAAAGAGAAAGGGCTCCGTAGCATAAATAAGGAATCAGTGAATAAAAGAGAGAGAGAGAGAGAGAGAAAAAAGAAGAAGAGGAGGAGGTCCGGAGGAAGGAAAGGAGGCGAAGTAAGGGGAGGAGGAGGAGGTGAGCGTGATGTGGCCGAAGAGAGGCTGCACGGAACCGCGATACGGAGAAGAAACAAAAGAAGAGGCTGTGGGAGGGTCCAGCCGGAGACTAGGCCCGGTCCTGAGCAACGCTCCCTCCGAGACGAAGAAGCAGAGGAGAAGGCCTTTTTATCGGCAAGCCCGAGCGCCGAGACGCCCAGTGTGTGCTTGCCGGCCGCCCGCGTCTCTTCTTCTTCGTACAATCTACCTCCCCCGCGCGTATATATTTTTCCTCGTACACCTATCATCACGTATTACGTATAGCAGAGCCGAGATGTCTCTCGAGCCTCGCGTTTTTTCGCCCCTCCCGAGGTGATGATGCTACGCCGAGAGTCGTAAAGTTCTTCCAGTCCACGTGAACGGTAGTTTTTGTACTTGATGGCGCGTGTCGCCAGGGGCCCGAGGTACTTTTCCTCACCAAGAGTGCAGTGAACGATCAAAGGTTGAAAAAAAAGGGGGGGAGGCCCAAAAAGCAGAAAAAGAAAAGTTTTCTGTCGCAGCACACGGTGCAACGCGCAACACCTATATATATATATACGTGTGACATATATTCCAAAAAGTAAGTATCCATACATTCATCCGTGGTATACCGTTGGGCGTCTGTTGTCACAATAAAAAAAAAATGAAGAAAAAACTTTCAAACCCCCGCGTGAAATCACGTATTTTTCGCAACAATGCCCTATAAAAGCATGCGTGCATCTATTGTACCAAGGCTGTGTGTTTTCGTCGCATTGCGCGTGTTCGCGACCCGGTTTTTGCACGGGGATATAAATTTATTAGGATATGCGAGTGTGTGCACCCCTTTTTTTCTTCTTTTCTCTTTTTGTGCAGTATACACGTACACATTGGCTACAGCTGTAGTCGACAGCGGCTCCATGTGGAGGTGGGAGGAGTAACTCGATATATACTTTCTCCTTATTTGCTACAGAACAGCACATCAAGGATGGCTTTTGGACGATTGAGACGATTTAAATCGTTTTGCCGCCTCGTAAATCTCCCCTCTTCGACCGCCGTTGTTTTGAGGTGCAGAGATATCTATAGTGTGGGGCACGAAATCATACGTGATTAAGTGGATAACGCAAGGGGATCCGGGCCAAAAAGACGTGCGTGAGTTTTGTATTGATCACCATAGTAAACAATGACGCGGGAAGAATCAACCGGTAGAGGAAATCGTGAGGAGATCGATTGTGGGAGATCACGCAATGTCTTGTACGCATCCGTAGCGCGTATGTATACATGCACACGCGCAGGACTCGTCGGTGGGCTATTGCAGGGCAAAGGCGCAGGAACAACCGCGCCAGTGCGCGCAGCGTCGCGGGGAGTCCCTTTCATCCTCTCTCTTGCCTTTTCCAACCTGTTATACCTACAGGTTCTATAAAGGCGGGCACCACTCGCGTGTACGACGTGCTTTCCGCGATACCTGATCCTGCTTACTGTCGTGCTTCCAGTTGGTTGGGGTACTTTGCGCAACAGACCGGACTTTCGAGGTTGTTGGCTGAAGGGGATGCACTTTGGTGGTTGTGCGATGAAAACGCTTTGCTTGCCTTTGACGGAAAATTAATTTGGTAGTTTGTGATTTTGAACGCAATTACTGTACGTTTTTACATACTCCTGGGGTGTGTCACTACATCGAGAAAGTGTTTTTTGTGCCAATATGAAAACAATTGTCTAGTGAATATGTAAAATGAGCTTCCCAAATACTGTGTAGCGACACTTTTGCCAAATAAAGTCTTATCGATGAATAAACATGTGAAATTTTTATTAGCACGGGCTGATCGTAGTAATACGGTCTTACCAAACTCGTCATTGATCTACTGAACAAAGTTTTACGGCGGAAAACTTTCACAACTGCAATAATTGCATTTGATGAATATGTTTACAGATATAAATAGTAAATAAAAAAAACATAGAATGAAACTTGGTGTGTGTGTCTCTTGAATTGTTGCACCGTGAAAGTAGAAAGTCAAAACTAATGCGATCAGAGCACACTACTTTAATACCTATTTTTCCACAATTTTACCTCACGCAAAAGCTCTGATTTTCACGGTAACCCCCTGGGCTTATTACGAATCATTTTTTACCCCCATCATCTCCCCAGCTTCCGCTTTCGCGTCAATAATCCCAGAAGTGACGATTCCTCGGCAAAAATTTCTCCAAAACCATCCGAACGAACCGCTGGGACTGGCGCTCATTAGCGGGAAATCACGGTATATGGTATAAAGTATGTATATATATATATATACATACTTTCCCGCGGAGCTTTCCAACACCATAGGGGTATAAATATACCAGTGTCTCGGGAGAGGAAAAAAAACCCCCGTCATGCACTGGTCTGTCCGTCAACCGGTACGTATAGGTACATTATATGCTTTCTTATTTTCTCGTGTACCATATACTGGCCAGCTCGGACTATAATTCGCCAAATTATGGGAATTAGAGAGTAGTCGAGTTTTTTTATTTTTTTATTTTTTACGAGATTTTAAAAGCGCGAAAGTGGAGTTTGGGAAAGTGGACGATTTACGACCCTGTTGCAGAGACAAGTGCGCTTATAATCGGAGTTTTCACTGGGGCATACCACGTTCATAATGTATACATGATTTAAAAAAAAATGACTCGTTGAAACATCTCTTAAAGTTGAAGCTTTGAAAAAGTAAGGAAAGAAAGAAAAAAAAGGTGTCCCAAAGGGGGTATAGAGCCAAAAGAAAGAGAAGGAAGATAAAAAAAAAAAAAAAAAAAGTCTCCCGCATGTGAAACCCCCGCAGAGTCAATCCGGTAGCAGGCGAGGCAGCAGCAACCGAGGCTCCAACAGCGACAGAAGTGCCGGCATCAGGGGCAGCAGTGGCAGTCTGGTGCTTCAGGTGTCGGCGGGCGAGCTGCTCGGCCGTACGCACGAGGAGCTGGTGCTCCTGCTGATACAGCTCAGACGCCAGAGCGCCACTCTGTGCAAGGCCATGGAAACTTGCCACATGGAGATCGAGGCACAGGTGTCCTAACGTCCATAAGAGACCTCTTCTTTTCCTCCTCGACATCATCTTTATCGCCTTTCTTTCTTATTTCTATACTGTTCATTCTTACTTTGAGCCAGTTGGTGTAGCTTACTTTTGTCTGCAGGCTTTTTTTTTCCATTTCCTATACGCTTTTTGAGTTTTGATGCTTTGTGTTGCGAAAGTAAGAGTAGTGGAGACATTCATTGCTTGCTGTATTATATAGTCTTTATAGTGTTCATCGTAGATTGGATTTTTATTTCTATTGCGGGACCAAAAAAAGTCACTAGAAAATCATTTTTTTCTGAATATTTATTCTTTTTTTTTTTTTTTTTTTTTTTTTCAAAAATCGCAATGAATTAAGCACTATCAGTACTACGCAACGTAGCCTGCTTGATCCACCTTGAATTTGTATCTCAACGATATTTGTATATTTCAGCGAAATTAAATGAAAAACCGCTTTGGTGAAGGTTCCAGGATACGCTTGGTCACTCTTGCTTTTACCATTTAGATTGTAATACATTACCAGCGAAATACAATCTAACATCTAAATTAAGATTAACATTAAGAAATTTTTGTATTAATATTTTTTCAACAGGTTCTCATCATCTAGTCTTTAAATATGAATCAGCGAATTTGTATCTTGAATTTTCTTTACTCACCAATCACTAAGTTATCACCAAACTGATGTTATCGATGAAAGCTCTACAAGCAGATTTACTAGAAAGTCTTTTTATTCCCTGATTCAGTTTTAAAGAAAACACATAGTATTTAATTTTATCTTTGACAGTAATTTTACAAATGGAAAAAAAAAAAAAAAAAAAGCTGCAAGTACAATAAAGACCACAGTTATGTATAACTCATCAAAGCAGTGACTTTTGCAATTTGCGAAAAGTAAATTGTATTGCAAGCAGTAATTTTTTTCCCCAAGTATACATCACACCAGACACGCCTATAGTTGCAATAAGCTAACAAAACCATCTTTTCGTCATGAATAAAAAATACTGTCAACACAAAAATCCAATCATTTTGTCTGATCGTAAATTCAAGACATTCCCACTAAAGATACATTAGACATTGGAAAAAAAAACACTTAATATAAGACCAGATTTTATATTTACGAGGGCAACAAACTGTAAGCACGACCCATCGCTTCACTGTCGACCACAATAAAATTTTTTACTACCGGTAAATCTAGACACTTTTCGTACAACAGACAAACAAACAAACAAACTCGACGTACAATACCGAAGGCATCCAAAAGCCACAACCTAATAATGAAATCGCCCTACAACGCAATAATGCACAATAATCACTGCTCGTAATAATCCTCGTTCTTCTCGCTCGGTATGGCCAATGGACCGCGGAACAAAGGGGCGGCAGCGAATAGCCCAATTAATTTCAATTCCGTATACCTCGTCCGCGCCGCATACTTACAAGGCAAAACTTGTTACTCGTGCATAGAATACTATTTACGTGTTAATACAACTACCGATTTTTTTGATGCGCTTTTAATTGTTGCGCGAAAAATGGCCCACTTTAAGCGTTAGCACGACGATTATTTCGAAGCTCTTTTAAATCTATTGATCCGAGAGTTGAAAAAAAAATTAGAAATCTGCCAACTCGACACCTCCTCTTGACCGGCCAAATGAGACAACCCCCTTACATCACATGTGTATCTCTTTCGGAGCAACGACTTGCGTATCAAATTTCCGCGAAAGGAACGGGTAAGCAGAGAAGTCACTGTGACAGCAAGAACGGCGTCTTGGCGACAGCGATCCCTTTTTTTTTTTTTGTGTCTCTCGTATCGTTGGTGGTTGTGTCTATTTGACACTGGACCGCTACCGTTGCAGGCACACAATCTCTCCCGTACAGATATATGCACCCGTGTATACAGTGCAGGCGTCGGCTTTCCGTCCACTTTGGCGCGTTGACTCTCTTCTTCTTCTTCCTCTTCTTTTTCTTCCTACTGCTACGATCTACCAACTACTTTTCTTCCATCATACATACATATATATGTGTGTATCACACGTAGAGTAGGAGGCTGCACATGCCACGCTCTCTAGGCAGAGCCTCGCAGTAGTTGAGGTGACGTCGGCCGGTGTCCACGCGGCTTCTTTAATTTTCTCTTTCTGTCTTTTTTTTCGTGTCTCCGGTACTCCCAGCTTGTAGGTACCTTCAAAGTCTTGCACGAATTAGCTCGTTTGCGCGTAAACGGACGACAGCTACAAATGTAGAGATTTTTTCAAAAGATATATTGTTCGTAACAATAACGGTGGAATAATATTTCTTCGTTCTTCGAATCAAAAATACACTTTGGGGTAATTTAATAATTAAAAGCCTCACTATGCATGGTATAACTTTGTAACGATCAATTCAAACATGTTCCTCAATGCTTTTTTGTTCCAAAAACATACCTAATATCTAAAACAGCAACAAAAATTAAAAATTAATTTTTCCAACAAATTAAACAAACAATACAAGGGAAAATCTGTCTATACACGTAATATTAACCCTTTAACCAACGCGTAAGTTGTACATGATAAACATTCACGCACATGTGCGCTCGCTCTTGCACATAAACTATTAGTTTCCGTTCAAATGCCCAAAGTTTTGGTGCAAACTTTCGTGGGTGAGGCTCAGCGTACGTGTGCAACACGGGTGGAGCTGTATATAGGGTGGCTGTGGGGGTGGTGTTATCTATACCCTCGAAGTGTGTGGCTGTACGTAAATTGGTTTTCTTTGGCTTTGCAGGCTAGGCTGGTTGAGCTGGACACTCCGCGGCGATTGGAAAACTTGCAGAAGCTGGACGATCTTAAGAAGCACCTGATGGACCTCGAAAAGCAGGTGAGTTTTTTTTTTTTTTTTTTTTCAAGCAAATTTATCCACTTTGTAAAGGTTTTTTGTATGGGTAATACCACGAGATTTCAGTTCAGCTATTAGAAGAAAATTTTGGCTTCTTTGATCGTCGTGAATTTTACTTTCAAAAGTCGTTATAAGTATAAATATTCACGGAAAATAGTTTTAATTTACTCGTTGTTGTAAAGACTCGTTAATTTTCGAGTACCTGCTTGTATGTTACCACTTGCTATAGCTGCATGCTGGTAATTGTCTTTAATTCGTGTTGAGGGTACCATCAATAGAGAGTTAACTAACCGAGTACTAAGTATACTTCAATTCTTGACCAATTGAGGACACTTGATTATCTGGTTGCACAACATTTTCATTTATTCTGTTTAATTTGCTTATAATTTCCTAAGAACTCGATTTAAAATGTAAATGATTCGATTTTGTAGCTATGCACACGTGTATGTACACAAAGTTTAGCCTTGTGTCTTTTCCCAGTAAGAAAAATTGAGACTGCATCAAAAGATGTTGAATAGGTGTATTCCAGACACATGAAATTATAAAAAAAATTTCGATTTTTGTCACCAGAGAAGTTATTGAGAAATGTTATGGTTGATATTTTTAACATAGAACAACTTATTTTTGCATCACTAAAGCTCAGCATCACCAAAAGTTATGAGAATTTCATCTATAACATTTTAATGAAGTTTATATTGATAGATGATGAAATATATAAACGACCATACAAAAAAAAAAAAAAAAAAAAAAAAAAAAAAAAAAAAAAAAAAAAAAAAAAAAAA